GTGTGCGTGGTGTTGTGTGGTGTGGTGTGGTGTGTGTGTGTGTGTGTGTGTGTGTGTGTGTGTGTGTGTGTGTGGTGTGTGTGTGTGTGTGTGTGTGTGTGTGTGTGTGTGTGTGTGTGTGTGTGTGTGTGTGTGTGTGTGTGTGTGTGTGTGTGTGTGTGTGTGTGTGTGTGTGTTTTTTGCCCATTTGGGGCCCTCTCGGAGCGCTCGTGGGGCCCTCGTGGAGCCCTCTTGGGCCCTCTTGGAGCCTTTTGGAGGGCCTCTTGGAGCTCGGGGGGCCTGTTGGAGGCGATGGCGGAAGCCTCTTGGGCCGTCGGAACACTTGAATCAATTAAGATTTTGGGGGAAATCGTTTCTGTCTGCCTCGTGGGGCCCTCTTCGGGGTGATGTGTTGAGCTTTCCTGTAGCTTTTTGGGAGCCTCGGATGACCGTATTACGCGCCAGCCCTGCCCAAACAGGGGCGCGCGCGCTGTGATTTCAGACGCGACCAGCGTGACAATTGATGCCGATTCACTTCGTTCCGAAGAGAAGCTGTGGAGACGGCGCGATCGCCCCAGACGGCCCGATCGGCCCCAAACGGCCGAAATCAAGCAATCCATGGGGGGGTTGTCGTCGACCCTTTTGGGCCGCCTCAACACGACCCCAGGGCTTGGAATTTCCGCCTCACTTTTCAAGCCCCGCTGATGCCGATTTCCACCCTGCTTTTCTGTTGCTGTTTCCGCCCTACTTCTGTGGATTTCCGCCCTACTTGATGTTGGGCGCAGAAATTTCCGCCCTACTTTTTCGGCTTCTTGTAGGTGGATTTCCGACGCAAGTTTAAGTTGGGAAAAAAGCCAAAATAGGGCGGATCTGGAGTCAGGGAGGGGGGGGGTCTGGCTCCGGACCTCTGCTGAGCGCGACTGTTCGGAGCCGTGCGCCCTCTGGAGTAAAATCAGGGTCTCCACCTGCTGGAAACAGGCGCCAGAAACAGCTCAGATCTACTCCATACCCAGACCCCCGACGTCATGATTTTTTCATGACGCGACCCCCAGAGGTCCAGACCCGTTCCCCGGGACCGGTTTTTCATCCCGAGTCGTTTTTTGACGCTCCCGAGGCCCGGTAAGGGCCCTCAGAGGCCGAAAATAGGGACAAACCTCCCGTCGTGATTTTTTCACGACTCGAGGAGGTCTGGGTAAGGGGGGGGGGAGGGGGGGGGTTGGCGAGGGCGGAGGGCCCGCGCCAGTGGGCAAAACAGCGAATAACAAAAACGACCACCAGGGAGGGCCCCGTGCTGCGCGCGCCTGTCAGCAGGCAGGCCCTGCGGCACCCACCGCGCCCCACGCTCACCCCCGAAGAGAGCGAGCCCGTCCATCCCACCGCCGTGCCGGCAGCACGTGGTGGAGTGCCCCAGGGCTTACGTCGGGCCTCTCCTCCTGCAGGGGGATCTTGGACGAAACATAACCCAGACCTCCTCGAGTCATGAAAAAATCACGACGGGAGGTTTTTCGCTGTTTTCGGCCTCTGAGGGCCCTTACCGGGCCTCGGGAGCGTCAAAAAACGACTCGGGATGAAAAACTGGTCCCGGGGAATGGGTCTGGACCTCTGGGGGTCGCGTCATGAAAAAATCATGACGTCGGGGGTCTGGGAAAAGAGAGTAGTCAAAAAATGCCCCCACATGGCCCACAGACATCCAACCAGTCGTCCCCAACCTGTTGCTCTAGCTCTTCTTGAAGACTCCTCCTGTAGAGGGACGGGCCCGGCTTCACCCCGGGCGCACGCAGTGCCGGGCCCCGGTTGCCTCGCCCTCCTGCGCCCGCGGGGGCCGACGAGGCCGGCCGCTCCAACCTTGCCCGTCCGCTGCCGGAGAGGTGCCCACCCCCTCCCCCCTGGGGTAGCGTGTCGCCCCGGATCCGCCGTCGCTGCCTGAGAGGGAGGAGGGAGGAGGAGGAGGAGGAGGAGGAGGAGGAGGAGGAGGAGGAGGAGGAGGAGGAGGAGGAGGAGGAGGAGATGGAGGAAGTGAGGGAGGAGGAGGAAGAGGAGGAGGAGAGGAGGGGGAAGTGGAGGAGGAGGAGGAGGAGGAGGAGGAGGATAAGTTGCCCGCCCACACCTGGCCCAACATCGCGTATTTGAGGTGCAAGAGGGGCCGCGGATCGAGGGATGACGCCCGAGGTAGGGCTCCAGAGCCGAGATCGAGGGATGACGCCCGTACTGGAGAAAGGAGCCCGGCGCGACCCCAGCTCGGGGAAAGCTCCTCCTCCTCCTCCTCCTCCTCCTCCTCCTCCTCCTCCTCCCCTCCTCCTCCTCCTCCTCCTCCTCCTCCTCCTCCTTCCTTCTCCTCCTCCTCCTCCTCCTCCTCCTCCTCCTCCTCCTCCTCCTCCTCCTCCTCGAACTGCGTGGTCATGACTGGCACTGCCTGGCGCTGCGTGGCCCTGCTTCGCATGGCTCGGCGCTGCTGGGTGTGTCGCTCTGCACCGTGGGGGGCCCCGAGGACGAAGGCAGGGCACCTGGGAAGGAGCACGACTGGAAAGCCCGAGGAGCCCGGGGAGCACGCTGGAGCCCGACTGGAGCGGCTCCTTGCAGGGCCACGACTGGAGCCCGAGGAGCCCGCGCGAGGGGACACGAGTGGAGAACCAGTACGTAAACTTCTGGCGCTTTGGATCTGGGCTGGACCCCCCTCCCTGGCGCGCGGAGCGCGCCAGGGGCGGCGCCGGAGGCGCCGCCAGGGCGCTCCAGCGCAGATGCAAGAGACCGGCGCGAAGCGCCCAAAGTTTATGTTTGCGCCTCCCCCCTCAGCGAGGGGAACGCGCCCCTGGGGAGCCCACTGCAGTGGAGGAAGCAAGACCAGGGCCACCCCCCCGAGGAGCCCCGTTGCAAATACGGAGGGAAGGCCAGGGCGCCCCCGAGGAGCGCCGGGGCCCCCCGCGGACCCGTTCTATAGGCAGAGATGGAGGAAGCAGATCGAGGCGTACGGTCCAGACAGCTTCGGACACACATCGCCGGGGCACACACTCTTGGCGTGTCGGGTTGACACGTTTGGTGCCCACCTCGCACGTGCCGACTGCGCTCATGAGGCGCACGGTCGGACCTCGGCCCGAAGAGCACCCCTCAAGAAAGTGAGGCCATCCGCTGGCCAAGGCACACAGAGCATCCAAGGGTACAGTCAAAACGTATAGTGAGGACGCGAGGTAAGGACGCAAGACCCTTGGAGGCCGAAGTTGGATTTTTGGGGCGGGGGGCGGCCAGTGAAAACGGCGAAGGACGGGCCGCAGAGGCAAGGATTCAAGGGTACCCTAGAGGAAGGCGCGCGTCCTTGCTAGGCGCGTTGACTGTACACCCTCCCCCGGGTGCACAAGAACAGCCAACGAGCACGGAGAACATGAGGGCACCCTCCCCGAACTGACCTCGGTCTTGTACCTCGGCCCGACGGTCGGACAGCCAGGCCAGGAGAGCATCAGATCGAGGAAGAACGCAAGAAACCGAGGCCCCCGAGAGCCTCCCCAAGAGACCCCACGAAGCATCCCTGAGGATTCGGGCCCATGTCAGCGTCGTCGTCGCCGCCGCCGCCACCGCCGCCGCCGCCGGCGACGGTCCCCCTTCAGGGTCGGCGGCCACGGCAGGACGCCAGACATCGAGGCGAGCGCTCGGCCGAGGGGCCGGCGGCGGCCGAGGGACTGGCAGAGCCCCCCCTATCTCCCCCCCGTCGCGCCCGCCACCGCCAGGGGATAACCGAATACCTTCGAGAATCACTAGGGGATCCAAACTCTTATTGGTCGACGATAAAAAACTCGAACGACTTAAGGGGCGGGGGGGATACTTTATTCTCATCGGCATGCGGTTATGTTGAACAGAAAAAATCTTTGGGATCCAGGTCGAGGCGAACCACTCGGACATTCAAGAGCGTCAGATCGAGACTCCCGCGGCCGCGGCCGCGGCGGCAGCGCCCGGCCGAGGCCTCAGACCCCCGACGCCAGGATCCTTGTCATGGCGTCGACCCCCAGAGGTCTCGATCCACTCCCCGGGACCGACTTCTCCGCCCGAGTCGTTTTCTGCTGCTCCCCGGGGCCCGGCGAGGGCCCCCCGAGGCCGAAGATGGCGAAACGCCGTCCGTGGCGATTTCTACCTGACGGCCCCTCACCTCCCCCTCCTTCTTCCCTCCTCCTCCCATCCCCTCAAGCACGCCTGTCAATACTGCATCCAATGTTTCTCCTTCGCCGCCAGCGTTGCTCGCCATGGCAGGCCCGTTTTACACTTTCGCCGTCCTCACGAGTGGGGCGTGACGCTTTGAGGCGTCCGATCCGACCTTTGCTTGCTTGCTTGCTTGCTTGCTTGCTTGCTTGCTTGCTTGCTTGCTTGCTTGCTTGCTTGCTTGCTTGCTTGCGCGAGCAGGTCTGGGGCGCTCCTCCGCGGGCTGGAAGAGCTGCCCGAGGTGCCCGAGCGCCAGCGGGTCGTGGTGGCGTGCCGCGCGCACGGCCGCGGCGTCCCCGCGCGCGTGCCAGCCTCCGTGGCCCTCGGGGCGGCCGAAGGGCGGCGAGGGCGTGGAGCGGGGAGCGTGGAGCGGGGAGGAGGAGGAGGAGGAGGAGGCGGAGGAGGAGGAGGAGGACGAGGACGAAAAGGACGAGGAGGAGAAGGAGGAGAAGGATCGGCGAGAGGTGACGAGGATCAGAAACCGGGGATCAGGGACGCGCGGGCTGGACGGCAAGGACACTCGTGGCTCTTGCCGTGGGTCGCTGAGACTGAAGATCGCAAAAAGGACTCTCGGGAAACCATGCCATTCTATGTACCTCAGTGGCCCATTGCTGCCGCGGGCGACGGCGCCGACGCTTGGTGGCCCAGCTGCGCGGGGTGCCGTCCAGATTGCACAGCCCTCGCCTGGCCAGGGAAGCGGCGTCGCTGTTCACGATTTACGTATACAAAGCAAGCTGCCTTGAGGCTAGGACGTCAGAGAGTGGCTGCGACGATGCTCTGCGTAGAACGGGGTTGGTGACTCTTGGGAAAAACGACCCCAGCAAGCGCCGCAGGCATCGGTGGTGGAAAGCATCGATCCGGGTAGGCCCGGCACGAAGTAGCCACACCGAGCCCAGGGAGTACATCACCTTGCTCAACACGCATGGTTCGTATGTCTTGAGTTTGCGGACCACCCCGACTGACGAGTGGGACCGCATTGTTCGTAAGTCGTTGAACGCGCCTGTCGCTTGCGAAATTCGCCGTTGCAGCTCAGTCGCGACCTTCCCGTCGAAAGTGAGAGCCCAGCCCAAACATACAGCTCTGCTGATTGATATCAGAAGTCCCCCGCCTGGGCGCGAAAGGCTGACTCCCGTGGAGATCTGTGCCTGGACGGTCTTGTGGCCCAGTTCAGCTCAAGTCCCTCCTGCCCTCCTCCACGATGGAGCTGAGAGGCCGCTGGAGATGTTCCGAACGCTGCAAGGCGAACGCAGTGTCGTCAGCATATACAGAACGTCTCGTGCAACCGCAGGCTCCGACTCTTCTCGGAGACTGGTCTGGTCGAAAGCGTCGTACGAAAAACGGCCTGCACGGCTACGAGGAAAGTGCGGAACTGATGGTATCCCTGGGCGATGCCTCCATGTTGGGTCCCTTCTGTGGGTGATCCACTGTGGCCGTGGATGACGAGAATCGCCTCTCGCTAGTCGCCTGTATCATGCAGACCATCCCTACGGGCAATCCAAAACGCTTCATGGCTGCGCACATCAAATCCGTCTGCACCCTGTCAAAAGGCGTCGCCCAATCCAACATCAAAAGCAACATCACGCCCAAATTGCTGTTGTGCGCGGCGCCGACCGTGCCCTTCACCAGCATCAGAGCGTGAGCTGTGTCACGCTCAAGCTGGAAGTCATACTGCGAGTTCCGTATCCTCGCGTCGGCGCCGCCCCCGACCAGCCTCTGGTGCAACATGGAAGCAACTGTTTCGTGCCCTACTGACAACAATGGCATGGGCCTCTAATGTGATGGCAAAGCTGCGCCCCCTTTCAAAAAAGAAGGACTACTTCCGCCCGTCTCCATGACTCTGGAGTTCCCTTTTACTCCAAGCGTCGCCGGCATACCCAGAGTAAGATGCCACATGCGGCATCGTCCCCTGCCACTGCTTCCAGAACTCTGGCGGCACGCCGTCGGGCCCCGCCGCCTTCCCTGTGTTCAGCTCGCGCAAAGCCCACCACAGCTCGGAAAGTGCAAAGGCATACATTGAAGGGGCCCCAGGACACACAGATAAATACACACAAATAACAATATTCCCCATATTTTCCCATATTTTCTAGGTTTTTGTCTTCCCCCCCACTTCCCATATTTTCCTATATTGTCCTGGGAATCGACGATTAATTGTGTCTGTGTGTGTTTTTCCCCTCCTGATACATGTTGATTGGCCACGTTGGCCCTAGGGTTCCCAGGATCCTCCCGAACTGCCCCCGGAGAGCCGAGCTATGACCCGAGAACCAAACGGAGGAGGAGCAGGAGGAGGAGGAGGAGGAGGAGGAGGAAGGCAAGGAAAAGGAGGAGGAGGAGGAGGAGGAGGAGGAAGGCAAGGAAAAGAAGGAGGAGGAGAGGAGGAGGAGGAGGAGGAAGAGAGAGGGCGAGGGAAGGGGGGGGGGGGGAGTAGGGGAATGGGATGGCACCGTCGCTTGGGACTCCGATGCCACCAGAGTCGAGTCGAGAAAGGGGGGGCGGAGAGGAGGAGGAGGAGGAGGAGGAGGAGGAGGAGGAGGAGGAGGAGGAGGACCAGAGACCAGGGACCACGGACCAGGGTGAAGGGGACGCGGTGCCCCGCGGGGGGCCTAGGAGTTCCGAGGGAGGCCTCCGTGGAGGCCCGCCTGGGAGGGAGCCCTACCCCAGCCTCAGGAGGTCCCCCTCTGGAGTAACAACCAGGGCAGAGGTTTACCCCAGCCTGGATGACATGCAGGGCGTGCTTGACCGCTTTGGGCGGCCCGCTATGGCTGGGGAAGTGGCCCTGATTGGTTCCCGCAAGGTATTGTTTATCTTTGCGCGTGGGTTGGCCACTGCACTACTCTGCCAGCTTCACTAAGTTGGACGTGGCCATGCTCCCACAGATACTGCAGACAGACAGACTGTGCTCGGATCAGACATGCAACGAGTGGGAAGGATGGATCTCCTCGCCGCACGCACTGTACGACTCGCAAGCCGCGACCCGACTGCCGACGCCGCCACCTCCAGCCACCCTTGGGGCTGGGGCGGGACCGCGCGGGGCACGGGCCGACTCCTCTACTCGGGCCCGACAGGACTGGCAGAGCCAGCTGCCACCCTGGACGGGGGGGTCCAGGCGGGCAGGCTGGCTTCCACGACGCCGCGGGGTGCGCCTTGGCTCGGGAGCGGCCCGCGCCCTGGGCGGCCCCTGGGCCTCCCAGGCATCCACAGGCAGCGTGTCCACGAGAGCCCTCCGAGCCCTCTGGCGCGCCCGCGCCGCGGTCGCGTCGACGACGTCCGCCCTGGCGGCCCCCCCCGGCCAAACACCGAGACCAGGCCTCTGAGGCCGCGAGGCCCGCCGGAGGAGGAGGAGGAGGAGGAGGAGGAGGAGGAGGAGGAGGAGGAGGAGGAGAAGGTGGAGGAGGAGGCATAGGAGGAGGAGGAGGAGAGGAGGAGGAGGAGGAGGAGGAGGAGGAGGAGGAAGGAGAGGAGGAGGAGGGGGAGGCATAGGAGGAGGAGGAGGCATAGGAGGAGGATTGGGAGGAGGGGAGGAGGAAGGAGGGAGGAGGGAGGAGGAGGAGGAGGGAGGAGGAGGAGGAGTAGAGGAGGAGGAGAGGGAGGAGGACGAGGAGGAGAGGAGGAGGAGGAGGAGTAGGGGGAGGAGGAGGAGGAGGGGAGGAGGAGGAGGAGGAGGAGGAGGAGGGAGGAGGAGGAGGAGGAGGAGGAGGAGGAGGAGGAGGAGGAGGGGAGGGGAGGAGGAGGAGAGGAGGGAGGAGGGGGAGGAGGGGGAGGGGGAGGGGGGAGGAGTGCGTCTGCAGGAGCTGCCAGCGGCTCTGAAAAAGGAGCTCGGGGGCCCCAAGCGAGCTCGGATTCTCATCCATGTGGGACGGGGCCCAGACCGCGCGGGCCTCCGCGGGGCCAGAGGGAGCCTCGCCTCCAGAGCCTCCAGCAGGGAGAAGGCCCCTCGAGACCAAAGCGCGCCGAATTCTAGCCCAAAAATCCCCGCTGGGTCCTCTGGCGCGCAGAAGTCTGCCAGCATTCCAGCCAAGGAGCAAGCCGCGATTATCCGCGTAGAAGCAATTTTTTTGCGGTCGAGTCTTCGAGCGCGGGGGCAAAGGCGGCGAGTTCCGCCCTGGGCGCGGTCTGGCGGGCAGCGACTCCGCCCCGACCCCCGCCCGCAAATTGCCGGGCGCCAGAGCGGCGGTCGAGGGCGCAGAAGGCCGCGCGGCAACGTCTCGCACATCGTCACCGCGCTCACCCCCGCTGCCGCCCCCGAAGGTGGAGAGCCCAGCATTCGTCGCGGCAGCCCTCGACGTCGAGGCCGATCTTGACGCCTCGGTCGGCCTCGTCCCGATTGAACCTCGGCGCTGGCGCCCCGCCCCGGCCTGGCGAGCCCGAGGCCACTAACCCCCCCGCGATGACAATGAGGTTCTGGCTGCAGGAGTCCAGCATGCCCTTGGCCATGAAGCGGCGCTGCTCGCGGAGGACCCCGCGCGCGTCAGCGCCGTCGCGGAGGTCGGCCCCATGGCGGTGCCTGCTGGCCTTGGACCAGGGCTGCTTCTTGACCGCCAGGATGAGCTCCGTTTCCACCGCCGACGCGCCCACCCACGTCCGCGTCAACGCCCTCCGCGCCCACCCCGGCCGCCCCCCGCGTCGGCGACCCAGTTGGCGGCGGTCTCGGGGCCCCAGCCCACGTCCAGGAGGAGGGCGACGATGGCCGCCGCGGGCCCGCAGACAGCCCCCCAGCGGCCACTGGCCCCCGCCTTCACCAACTCGGCCTTGATCTTCGGCCAGGCCAAGGCAATGCGACGATGCAACTGCGGGGCCCTCCGCCACAAGTCGAGCCCTTCCGCCAAGAGTTGGCGCCTTGACTCGATGGCGGGGCCCTCGCCCCCGCGCAGGGCGCCGAGGAGGCCGGCGAGGCACCTGTCTGGCCCGCGGGCAGCAGCGGACGCGGCCGCCGACCTCCTCAGGCGCAACAGCGCGATCGGCGCCAGCCCGAGCGCCTGGCGCCCGCGCGCGGCCTTTGGCTGGGCGGCGGTGGACCAAAGCGCCTTCGTCAGCCTGCTGAGGCGGACCTGCTTCCGCATCCTGGCGATCCTCCTGGACATGGAATGCGCCGCCTTCTTCCTGGCCTCCGTCCTGCGCTGCGGCCTCCTCCTTCCAGCTGCCACGTCGACGCCGATGTCGACGGCGGCGACGGCGGCCTGGCACGGGATGCCCCTGCGCTGCAGGGCTCTGCTGAGCTCTCGGCCCAATGCAGGATGACTTGACATGGGGGCCGTCTTGCCCGACACAGTCAAGTTTTGCGGGTCGAGGCCCTCCTTGAGCGCAACCGACGCGCCGAGGATGGTGGACCGCGAGCTGCCCTGCGCGCCCTCGGCCCCGGCGACCGCGTTTTCCACGAACGGCCCACAGCTGCGCGTGCCCCCACTAGCGGTGGGCATCGGCAACGATGGGCCCCAGGAAAAGCTTCGCACACTTGTTGCCGCGCGACGAGCCCGCGACCACCAAGTTGCCAGGGTCAACGACGGGCCCGAGCCACTTGTTCTGCCAAACCTCCTCGGGGCCACGGACAGCTGGGTCTCGAGGGCCAGCGCTATGGCGGGGAAGCCTTGGTCGATGCCGACCTTAAGGAGTCGGCCGAAGCCGATGCTATCGTAGAACTTGGTGATGCCCAGGAGGAGGGCGGCCGTGCAAAGCCCATGGCGAGGGCCGTCTCGTCCATCATGAAGCGCACGATGGCGGCCCTCAAGGCCGACGAGCCCTTGATGGCAGCGTCCCACCAGTGGTGCTCGGCCTCCGCCCAGCGGTCAGTGGCGGTGGACCTGGCCTTCGACCATGTCTTGGCGACCGTGGCGAGAACGCCCAGCACGCTGTCGCCCCCCGAGGCCTGAGGCACTGCAGCTCCGATCGTGGCGGTGAGCTGCCACGGCCACATCCCCCTTTGCCTCCACCGGGTAGAAGAGGTCGGCTAGGTCCTGCCAGGCCTTTGCTCGGGAACTTCTAGATGTCCGACGCTGCCAAGTTGTCGATACCCTTGGCCTTGCTGGCCGAGGTATGCGCCAAGGCGCTGTCCAGCATGTCAACGGTGATGGGCTCCAGGGGGAACTCGCTGGCCACGCGCAGGAGCTCCTGCAGGGTCCCGATGATCGCCTCCTGGTCGAACTCGGGGTCGGCCCACAGGGGAAGGAAGAGAAAGAGGAGGAGGAGGAGGAGGAGGAGGAGGAGGAGAGGAGGAGGAGGAGGAGAGGAGGAGGAGGAGGAGGAGGAGGAGGAGGAGGAGGAGGAGGAGGAGGAGGAGGAGTGGGAGGAGGGGAGGAGCAGAACGAGAAGGAGGGAGGGATTCGACGCTCTTGCGCTCACCCCCGACCCCTTCTCATTATCCTGCTCTTGTTCAACCTCCTCTTCCTCCTCCTGCTCCTCCTCCTCCTCCTCCTCCTCCAGCATATCTTCATCCCCCTTGGCCTCCTCTCATCCTTCTCCCCCCCTCCTCCTTCTCCTCCTCATTCCTTTCGTCACGTCCTCCCCTTCCTCCCTCCTCCTCCCCCTCCTCCCCCTCCTCCTCCTCCTCCTCCTCCTCCTCCTCCTCCTCCTCCTCCTCCTCCAACTCCCCCTCCTCCTCCTCCTCCTCCCCCTCCTCCTCCTCCTCCTCCTCCTCCTCTTCCTCCTCCTCTTCTCCTCCTCCTCCTCCTCCTCCTCTTCCTCCTCCTCCACCTCCTCCTCCTCCTCCTCCTCCTCCTCCTCCTCCTCCTCCTTCCTCCTCCTCTCTCCTCCTCCTCCTCCTCCTCCTCTCCTCCTCCTCCTCCTTCCTCCTCCTCCTCCTCCTCCTCCTCCTCCTCCTCCTCCTCCTCCTCCTCCTCCTCCTCCTCCGCCCCTCCTCCTCCCTCCTCCTCTCCTCCTCTCCTCCTCCTCCTCCTCCTCCTCGCTCCTCCTCCTCCTACCTCCTCCTCCTCCTCCTCCTCCTCCTCCTCCTCCTCCGCCTCCTCCTTCTCCTCCGCCTCCCCTCCTCCTCCTCCGCCTCCTCTCCTCCTCTCCTCCCCTCCTCCTCTCCTCCTCCTCCTCCTCCTCTTCCTCCTCCTCCTCCTCCTCCTCCTCCTCCTCCTCCTCCTCCTCGTCCTAGAACTCCTCGCCCTCCTCCTCGTGCGGGGGAGGCCGGTCCAGGCGGTGCGCCGCCCAGCCGTCCTGGCCGCGCCACGGGTGCGGGAGGCAGCAGGAGGGAGAGCAGCAACGAGAGGGGAGCATCGAGGACTGAGGACGGAGGAGGAGGAGGAGGAGGAGGAGGAGGAGGAGGAGGAGGAGGAGGAAGAGGAAGAGGAAGAGGATGGAGGAAGGAAGAAGAGGGAGGCGAAGAAGAGGACGAGGCCGAGGAGAAAGAGTGGGAAGGAGGAGGAGAGAGGAAGAGGACAAGGAGAGAGGAAGAGGAGGGAGGAAGAGGAGAGAGGAAGATCAGAGAGGAAGAGGAGGGAGGAGGGAGGAAGAGGGGAGAGGAAGAGGGGAGAGGAAGAGGAGGGAGGAAGAGGAGACAGGAAGAGGAGGGAGGACGAGGAGGACGGACGTGGAGGGGGGAGGAAGGAGGGAGCACACGAAACGACGCACCGAGCCGGGACCCGGGACAAGGCGGACAACATGAAGACGTGAGAGCGCACAACTGGACACAGGTCGGGCATGTCTCCCTACAGGGGGATTTTTGACGAAAACTAAAAATACCGCCAAAAATTCCCCAAAGATGCCCCAAAATACTCCAAAAATAGTCTCCAGGCTATTCTTTGACTATTTGTTTAACTGTCCCCCCTGTAGAAGGACAGGCCCGACTTCAAACTGGACCCATGGCGAATCGGAAGACCCGAGGGAGGAGGAAGCCGAGGACGACGGCAGCGGCGACGACGAGGACGGGGAGGGCGCCGCGAGGGGGGGGGCGAGCAGAACGACGAGGAGCAGGAGGAGAAGCACCAGGAGGCCGGCACCCCCACCGCGGCGCAGACCACCGTCGGGAGTGCCCCCGAAAGGGCTCCAGAGGGGGCCTCCAGGAGGCCGCCCGCCACGGAAGGGGGCCCTGGGACACACAAACAAATACACACGGATTCCCCAGATTTTCCTATACTTTCTGGGTTTTTGCCTCCCCCCACTTCTCATAGTTTCCCATATATTCTTGGGAATCGACGATTCATTGTGTCTGCATGTTTTTTCCCTCCTGAGCCACGAGGGTTCGGCGGAGGGTGACGACGACGGCGGCGAGGACACAGACACAGGTTTCTCTGGGGGGGGGGAGAGCACCCGTCGGGCCTTGCAGCGGCGCCCAGTCCGCCGCTGGCATGCTGAGCGCCTCAGCAAGGGCACCTAAACGCACGTGCGGACCGGTGAAATGT